ATACTTTCATATTAGAACAAGCTCAAAATCTACTTAAATATATTTGTAATACTTTTTCTCACCTGGATTAAGTTGTGCAATAGACAGTATGTCAGGCAGGCAGGCAGGCAGGCAGGCAGGCAGGCAGGCAGGCAGTGTATGTCCATTCGCTTTAAAATAAACTACAGAACCTGTGTTCATTTTTCTAAACTAAAGTAGATTTATGGAATGAGATAGCAGGCTTTGGCCACACAGATAGTTCTCATTAGTAGGATAGACTCTTTTGTTCATAATCCGGAAAGGTAGGATATTGTTAAGCAAATCTAAACTTTAACGTTCATCTTGTCAAAACAAATGAAAAACGACACTTTCTTAAACAAACAATATTCTTAATACTAGCATTAGTGCTGATTCAATCTTAACGTTTGTACTGTTTTGCATTACATTAACTCTATATATTTTTAAACCAAACATAAAGTTGGTTTGGGAATATGTTGTCACATGTTGTTTATCATATTTGAGGATTTGAGGACATTCACGCGTCAAGCAGAAGATTCACATCCATGATTGATCTGTTCGACTTCTGCCTGGCATGATTCATTAAAGTGTTACTTTCCCATGAGCTCATAACCTAATATCTTAAAGCTGCTTTGGGGTGGGGTGGCCCTTAATAATAAAAGTAAATAAGCGCGAGACTACATTTCACATAATTCCCCCTCCATTGTTCTGTCTCTGTTTTTATATGGCTCATAACACCGATCTCAGATTCTCCTCCTTTTGTTTTTACATGCCCGAAGTCTGCTTGTCTGTTAAATAAGGATCTCATTTTAATTTGGAGTGGTTATTAAAGGAGGTATTCATTTTGTGTGTGTGTGTGTTAGTTACTGTGTAGTGCTTCTCTCCTATTATGTTACCTGAGCCCCTCGAGGGAGGCAGGTTTAGAGGCCTGTGTAAGAGGCAGCAGGCTGCTCTGTTGCCCACAGTCCCCAAACGGCATGTCTGACATGTGACACACACACACACACACACACACACACGCACACGCACGCACAGGCTCACGATGAAACAGACAAAGTTGCATACACAGGAAGTTGAATAACATATTCCTGATGAATAACATATTCTGTGTAACAAAATGACACCTCAGTCTGTCACTCAAAGAGATGCGGATGGAAATGAGCACAAAGCTAAATCTGGCACTGTTACGCTTGACACATTTGAACGTTTTAAGTGTTCATTACTGTGCATTGTCCCTGGCAAATAAACGATGAAATGAGAAGGGACTGAGAGAAACAGAGGAATAGAAAGTGACGAAGGGATCCTTGTCTGATGAGATCTTCTAGTGGACATGTTGTGTAATATTGTAATTTCCTCCTGTCTGCATGTCATGTGGCTGAATCATTTCACTGAAATAGCAGAAAAAAGAGTAATTGAAACAAAATGGCTGATGAATAAGCTGGAAATATGATTTGTTCACCAAACTATCTCAAAGGAAGAGTTGCTTTTCTTTTAGTCATAAACTCTACAGCTGTTGTGAAGCAGTGGTCAAGACATATTCTTAACTTTGAATTTGGATACATTTATGTTTCGTTAATGTCTTCATCTTTTACATTCCTCAAATAATTGCTGACGGTTTTCACTTTATGTTTTTAGTTTCTACCAGGCTCTCAGTCAACAACTTCCAGATAACCCCACCTCACATCCTTCTACTTTTTAACTTCTTCTTTCTACGACTGACCCCAGTTTAGCCCTTTCAACAAGTTCAGCTTCCCCCTTTTCCTCTTATAGGGTTTATGGGGCAAGAGAAGCACTCAAATAAAAAAGTTCTCTTGTCAGTGGTTAAAAAAAAAGGATCTGTGGAAACAAAGATTAAGTGCCAAGAAAATTACGTAAACACATCATCAGAAATGAAATTAATACATTTATGCGTAATTTATTTTTCGGTGTAGAAATAGAAAAATGCGCTTACACACAAAATCAATGATGAATTGACACACATGAGGTGGATGAACAACACTTGTGGTGGTTAAAAGCAAAGAAGCCCTAAAGAAAGCCACAGTGATGAGTGCAGGAAACAACCAGCACAACTTCCATCACAGTCCATTAAGTGAAGCCGGTGAACTTGCATGGATAATAATAATAAGTCATAGTTAATAACTTTAATTTAAAAGGTGGGGTAGGTAGGTTTGAGAAACCGGCTCGAGATACACTTTTTGTTATATTCCATGGAATGCTCTTAACATACCGATAGCAATGAATATCTGAAGTGCTTTGACAAAAAATCCATAAAGAAAAGTCATCTGTGGAAGCCGTGGTACTGTAAAAAGCACGACCAATCATCTGAGCCGGCCCGTCTAAAATAACTGGATGGCCTACCTGCCTGTCAGCCTTCCATCTGTGCACAAACTTATCTCGTGCCCTCATTGGTCATGTGCGCGTTCCTGTGTGTTGGAGGAGGGGCTCTGTAAGGAAGTGGCAGATTTTTTCCGGCTGTGTATTTTCAAATTCTAGCGCACTCGAGCTGGTTTCCCCAAAATGACCCACCCCATCTTTAAGCTATGGGTTTGGTCTGGGACAGTTTAATGTCCAATGCGGGACTTTTGTGGGACACTGAGGATAAAAGTTTATTTTGAGCCCTGGGCAACGGCGCAGAGTAGCTTCCTCAATAATCTTGGTGCTTCACATCTTAAATGTCAAGAGACTTTTCTGGAACTAATGTGTGTGTCAGTACTTCAGTCTGTGTGACTCCTTTTTACTGTAAACTGATTCATAACTGTCTTAAAGTCT